GGTCTATTCCCATTGGTCGACGTCTTAATTGTTGGACCAACAGACTTCATGGCATCTCCCATCAACTTCTTTACTTTTTTCTTGTCTTCTTTTCCTTCTTATCTATCTTCTTCCTTACCCTCTATCTGATTCTTTCCTTTCACAATGTTTGGGATGATTCGTAGTCCTACAACAATCTCATCTAATTGAGTTTGTTGTCTGTTAATTTTCTCTTCCAAGAAGGTAAGGTAAGTTATAACATGAGACAACATTCGAGACATGTCTGCCTTCTCTCCGGTTTCTGTTCCAATCACCTGTCTAATTTCTTCAACTTTTTGTCCTCTTCTTTGTTCCTATTCTCTTCTTCTGGACAACTCTTCTTTCTTTCTTTCTTCTGCGGCCAGTGTTTCTTTCAACTGTTGGATGTTTGCATCGATCGTAGCCTCGCTTACTTTTGGCTTAGTCTCGCCTTTACGAGTCAATTCCATTAGTTCTTCTAGCTGTTTCAAGGCAAACTGGTCCAGCGCCTGTCGACATTGGGCAACCAGTTTGGAGACTTCGGTCCCAGCTGCCACAACCTCCACAACTGTGATAGATTTCTTCATACGGTCGTCAACCGTCTTCAAATCAAATCTATCACGGATGTGATGTTCAACATCCGGTCCGGATAGATGTATTTCGGTCAACAGCTGGTTCCACAAAGCCAACAATTCTTGTTTCTTATTCTCAGCCTGCATCCGAGTCTTAGGCTCAGACGGTCCTTCGCCCACGGAGAGCATGATCGGAATAGGAAACAAGAATGTGGTCACAAACCTCGTCAAAATAGACTTTTGCAAACATTTCCAGAAGTGAGACATTTTCGGAGGATAGAAACAAGAAAATTCGTCGGGCAGGTTGGTCTACTGCAAAATAAATAAAAGAGAGAGTAATTTAACGGTCACCCGTACCAAATTCACACTATCTGAACATAAAGATTTAATAACAGGGAACATAATTTTTTACTAATTCTGATTGCTGTTCTATTTTTCAATGTGATGACGTTCTATTCTATTTCAGGTACCAATCCATTAAGAAACATTGCACTTGGTGCAGTAGTTGCACCTATCCAAGATACTTTACTCTTCAAGTCGATGAGAATATGAGTACACGGGCACACAACACATCACAAGACAACAGGTAAGTCCGCCAACAAAATCACAACAATAGTTAGCGTTATTCCACTGCTGCTGCTTCTTCTTCGGTCCTATGTGATCAGCACCCAATCTGACGTATGGCACCACAGCCACGTCAGTCTTCCAGCCGTGCCGCTTCAGTCATCAGAATGCAACTCTTACTTAGGCACAAATGTGCCTGCCACGTGTCACCCCTGGCATGCCAACCCAGCAACTCGAAGAGTATGCCACGTCAGCATGTCCAGTCAAAGTCATCAATGGGGTGCACATCAGCAATGTGCGTCGATGTTGTCGTCGAGTAAATCACTTTCCTGCCTGCCACGTGTATCCCCTGGTGTGCCAACTTAGCATCACTTAAGTCTGCCTCGTCAGCACTATAGTCCAGTCAGCATCATCAGTCGGGTGCACGTCAAGAGCAATACCAGCGCGTCGTACCATGCCACGTCAGCCAGGTAATGGAGTGCCACGTCAGACAATGCCACGTCAGCCTGAAGCTACTCACCACTGTAGACGAGTGGTGAGTCAGCAATGCCACGTCAGCACTCCTCCACAATCACCGGCCACGTCAGCAATGCATCCCGATCGCAGATGCGATCGATCGGGATCTGGATTTTCCCATGTCGGGATACCAACACCACGTCAGCACCTGACGTCAGCTTTTCCAGAATTATCCACGTCAGCTCCGCTGTTGTGGGCGTCACCACTTCTTCGTCGTTCTATACAGGTCGTCGTCATCAGTCACATCATCGGAAGTACAGCTCCGATACCAAATTCCAATGAACCCAGATCGTGCAGACACTTGTCAACAATGCAAGCCCAGATAGATATCAACCTGCTGATGATTGTCAATAATCATAATCGTGTCCAGATAGAATGAGATGGGGGAAANAACAATGCAAGCCCAGATAGATATCAACCTGCTGATGATTGTCAATAATCATAATCGTGTCCAGATAGAATGAGATGGGGGAAACATACACAGACAGAAGAGAGAGGAGGGAGAATAGACTTAGAATGGAGAAGAAGACAATGCCCACTCCTGCTTCAGGCTCCCTCCTCGCTCGCCACCTCAATAATCAATAGTCCAAACACAAATCTGAAGTTCTATCTCAATGTGCCACGTGGCACGTCAATCAGTCCTCGTCAGCGAGCTGGAGCAATGTCAACGTCGAAATAACCAGGTACGTATCTACGATCGCCCTACAGTCATGATCTCCTTCCGAGTGATGATGATCAGAACAGCAATACCAGTCACGTAGCCTCGCCACGTCAGCAACAGTATACGTGGCAGCGGCCACGTCAGCGGCGGCGCGTGGCAGCTGCCACGTCAGCATGCCCAGAAGACAATTGCCAGCCAGCCACCATGCCGAGCCAGAAGTGCGTCGCCGTAGTCGTCCAAATGCCAGCGTAGAGCCAGCGTCGCAGCGTCGCGCTAGCGTCGTAGTCAATGCGTGAAGTCAGCATTGACGCAAGACAGAATGTTCTCCCAGCCAGGTAGTCCAGGCTTATATAGCGTTGACGCTGGCTTTGGAGCCCGGTTGCTGCTTCCCTAAGCCGTCGAGATCTCAAGACAAATGGCGGCTGAGATTTGCCTGAAACCGAACTCCCTGTGGCCTTGATCCTGTCCGGGTACCTGCGCACAACAAGTGAATGTATCCGACCAAGGGCCTGGGTGTGGTGCCTCTGACAGTTGACTTAGACTTTTGACTTTCCTAGGCAGTGCGTGGTCACACTGCCTGGCGCAGGCCGAGTTTGGCCTGCGTCGTCTGGGCTCCGTTTTGAGGGCCCAGACTGCTGCAGAACACGGGTTACTGCACTCCAACCTATCACAAGGGAAATGAGGGCCTTCCATCTTCTGTCTTTCCCCCAAAACAAGTCACCGTGATCCAGGATGTACAAAAGCTATCTTTCTGGTCTGATACAGTCATGATGTGGCATACTGCGTAGCCACACGGGCCCTACAGGGCCCGTCCCGGACATTCAGCCTAAAAGCCTAAAACTTAGGGCTTACAGGCCCCGTTCATTTCAGCCTGGATGCTGAAAAACGAGGGCCTGCAGGCCCTACCTCGTTTCAGCCTATTTCTGGGTCTTTTCAGACCCAGAGTTTTCAGCCTGAAACGGAGGGCCATTTTCAGGCCCGCATTGTTTCGACCTGCCCCTAAGACTCAGGCACGGAAACAGGGATGCGCAACAGGCCCAAAATAGCCTGTTCCTCACGTGCTCGAGCAGGAGCTGCCGCTGCAGCCCCTGCGTTCCTTCGGCAGGCTCAAGAGGCACACCCGTAGTACATAGGAGGTTCCCATGCACTTCACGGGTACGTAGTCAGTAGGCAGAGGTAGTCTTCAGGATTCGGCCGCAGCACTCAGGAGGAGCGCTGCAGTAGTCTTCAGCGCTAGGCAGTAGTGGTAGCGCTAGCTGTAGTCTTCGGCGCTGGGCGCCATAGCTGTAGCTGTAGTCTTCAGCGCTGGGCGCTGGTAGGTAGTAGATCGTAGAGTGGAGAGAGACTGGCGGAGGCCAGTGTTACTTACCTGTGGCGCCATCGCTCCAGCTCCAGCTTCGTGGTACCTGCATCAAGGCGCCAACTTCACAGGTTAGTACTGGACACAGGGAGAGGGAGAGTTCTTCTTCTTCCTCTTCTAAGTCCACCTTCTCTTCTCACCCTCTCGCCACCTGACTTCTCAGACTATGACAGAGAGAGACAGAGTTGTGACTTGAGACTTGACGACATTGGATCCAGACTTGACATTTGGGATTCAGACAGTTCGACGAGGGACTATTTGGGCTTGTGCCAAAGACTTGGTGTTGACGACATTCCCATCTTCTCCCTCCTCTTCGTCTATCCCCTTCCTCCTCGTCTGTGCATGTTCTGGGCTGGCGCTGTCTTCCTGTGTGAAGCGCCAGACCCATTCACACTATGAAACGATGATGATGATGTATGTTCAGGGCTGCATTACAACATTGATTGTTCGGATCATTAGTATCTAAGTCTTCCGCTGTGCTATCTTATACTTTGTATTGAAAGGTCGGTTCTTGTTCTGGTCTGCACTTATACGGTATGCAACACATGATTAGGATGCATGATGTTCTGGAGAAGATGGCAGTGTTGGAAGTGTGGGTTAACTTGGGTAAAATGGCCGGACAGTCGCTCTGCACTGCCGCCACAAGTGGATGCAACATTTGAAAGGAATCAAAGGATGAAATGGCTGCAAATTGATGGAGTACTCTAGTGTGTAGGGATCCTGACCGCTGACGAAGGGATGACAAAGGACCTTGCTGCGACGAGTCTGATATCTGGATGGAAGGGTGGGAAAAGATCTAAGGGCGGGAAAAAGGATCTACACCACAGTAGATGGAAGTGCTCCTTGGAGGGTTCCAGAACCTTTTTTTTTCTCTCCTCGCATGTACAGGGCTTTTCATCAAGATGTTGACCTTGTGTGTTGAGCCAACGCAAGGAGAGGGGTGCTATCCCCTGAGGGGTCACGACTGACACATGGTGAAACACGTGCCGAGAGCTCGGTCAGTGGGATGTGGGCACGATGTAATTCTCCCTGTTATCATCCTGAGCTCATACGGGTTTTGACAGTGTGCGCTGTCTACGTGTGAATTTGCCATTGATCCAGTGCAATCTCAGGGCCAGATGTGTGTAAAGTTGTAAACACTGTAAAGCCTGTGCTCTTTTTTTCAAGAAAACTCAAAAACGTCGAATAACTTGAAATAAGTTAAAAGGACAATTTTGCAACTCTTTTCCCTCTTTTGAAAGGTTCTCTTCAAAAAAGGCTTTCCCTTTGGAGGCTTGGATTCAAATGAGTCTGTTGTTTCTTTTTTCTTTTTTTTTTTTTCCTAATGCAGGGAATACGTTTGGGACTGTGATTAAGAGTCTACCAGGACTGCGATCACCACTGGATCAGGCTCTTGATCCTCGTAAACAAATTTCAGAGTTGCTTGGAGTGATGTCGGTAAGCTCACAAAACCCACCTCCAGGATTTCCTACCATGTCAACTTTTACTCTTCTTTTTGGGGGGGGAAGGGAGGAGGGGGGGGGGGGGGGAGAGGAAGGGATTTCCTTTACCAAATGGGTTAGTTCCGACCGTGTTAAATTGCAGCCTCCTGTTAAACGGCACGGCATAGGAGCCAAATCCCCCATGTACAGGGGAGTCAAACTGCAGCAATTGGGCAACAAGACAACTAGGAGACTCTGTGAAACGCGCAGTTTTGACCGGTTTTCACTACAGAACCTGCGCCACCTGGTAGTTTATTTGCAGACTTCCGTTCCCTTTGTCCTTTTTTGTAGCCCACCCCGGCGCTCCAGTCTATTGGTGGGGAGCAGCACCTGCTGAAAACTGGGTCCAGAGTCCCGTAATACATTCAGATGAACCCCAAAAACCCTTTGCTCGAAACCGGGTCCAGCATCCCATTGTCACTCTCTCCTATATCATCCGTCTCCTGCTGGAAACCTGGTCCAGCGTCCCATGATGTATTGAGTTTTGGGGAAATGCCCAGAATTCAGGGGGTAACAGGGGCACCGGGGGCGCTGGTGTTCCCTGCGTTCCAAGATCCTGGCCATCCCTTGCTATGTTATGCTGTGTTATGCTCAAGGTCCTCTGGAAGATTCATAGGTTGTCACTTGTTGGGATTTTGCAGGCACTCTGTTAGAGCCAAAGGATGTGAGGAAAGAGATCCAGGAAGTCTGAAGGAGGTCTTAGTGGCATACCTGTGTCCACCACCATCCATTCATGAAATCTCAGCTGAAAGTCCCAGGCCATCCCATCAGCAGGCCGACCCCCGTATTGGCCCTGTTATTCGCCTCTCCCTTGCCTGCCCTCCATTCCTTCATGCCGTCTGGGCCCCTCCTCTGACCACTTAACCTCCGCCGTCCGGCCACCGCGGTCTCCCCCCAGCCAGTCCCTACAGAATCGGGAGATAACTTCTATGGCACTGATCTGAACTCTATATCCATTATTCTCTGGTAATCATTGTTCCCTTGCGGCTTTGCCTATATATTTATCTGTTTAATGCAATTATTCTGACTCTTTCAGGTGCTATCTGCCATATGTTTCATGTTAATCCTCCATGAGAGTAAACATTTAAAGTCATTGGTTTGTAGATTAGAATCTCCTCTCTTTTTGTTTTTTGGTGTCTCTTTGTTTTCCTCATTCTCTGAAGCTGGTTACTATGGGGACTTGTCTAGGCACCGTAGGCGGTATTACTGTTGGCCGACCTTAGTCTAGAGAATCTGTCCGCTGTCTTCTTGAATGTCAACAGAAGTAGATGAGCACCCAAGCAAAGGGGGTGGAGTTATCTGTGGTCACAAAGAAGGGACAAAAGTTGGTGTCCCTTCGAGTTTGGAAGGAAGGACTTAACGTTGTACCTGCCCTGTGGCTGAATGGTACACACATGTACTTGTCGATGAGCAGATAATGTGTTCGAGTGCTGATGGGCAAAATAGTTTTTGGAGCTATCCCCTTTTTGAAAAAAGGAAGGACTTAACATTGGGAGAAGAGTGAGGTGGGAGGGAGACAGATAAATAGGAAGAGACGAAAGGAGGGCTATGACACTCTTGGCCATAAGAGGGTGGCATCTCAAAGTGGGCTTCATTGTTGTATACATGTCTTGCCAGTGGATAAGGAATGAAGTTCAACAAACTCTAAACTTCCGTTCATGGGGACTAACACAGCATCTCAATGACAAACAAGTGAGAATGAGAGGAGAGGAAGAAAATGTAGAATCAATAGAAAAAGAACGGCAGCAGATGTTTAGCCGTCGTCATCAACTGCTCACTGAACTGCACGGCGCAGGGCCAGATGCTGAGTGGCATGTTTGCAGCCAGTTCGGTCTGCGTGCTGCAGAAGACGAACTCTCAAGGGCTGGAACTGCCATTCAGCTCCTGGAAACCGGCGAGCGAGTGCAACAGATAATTGACCGGGGACGAATGGCCCTCGATCAATTTGCCGTTGAGCAGTTGAAGGAGATAGCCGGTACAGAGGCCAAAGAAGAAGAGAAAGGAGAAGCAAATGAGAGGAGAGAAGAACCCGAATTAACAGAAGAGATAATGGGCGACACCATCAAACAGCTGCAAGTTGAGTTAGACGCAAAATTGAAGAAGGAAGTAGTACCAGAGGCAGAGAAGAGAACAAGAGCAACAGGCAAGAAAAGTAGAAGAAATTAAACAAAAATTTCACATTGCGGAATCAGAAACTGACCTGGCGTCTGTCTTGCAGTATGATGGCTTACCTAGCGCACCTAGAAATCAAGATTGACCACGTCACCACAGAACTGTAGACAGTGACGAGACTAGTAAAAAGGAAGAACAAGGTTGTAGCCGAGGAAAAAGAAGGAAAGGAAGAGCCTCAAGAAAAGTTGATGAAAAAAGCCATGAAATCCCGAGAACCAAAAGAACCCGAACCCACCAAGAAAGAGACCCCGAAGAAAAAAGAAGGGGAAAGACCGAAAATAAAAGAAAAAGTGAAAATAAAGTCGCCTTTCACTTACAAAGGTAAAAGAGGAGAGCACTTGTTATTGTGGATTGCCGAGACCCAGACCTATTGTGGGACCACTCCGGTGGCGGAGGACAGTCAAGTTGCCTTCTCCACCTCATGTCTGGGAGAAGTTGCAAAGGAGTGGGTATTGTCTGACGCCAATGCCGTTGACTTCAAGGATATAGGTGAGTGGGCGATAACAATGACTTTGCGGGAATTCCTCCAAAAAATCAAGGAGTGGTTCCTCGACAAAACGACAGTCGGTAAGGCCTTTGGCAAACTCACCACTATCAGCCAAAAGCGTTGGTCCACAGTCAATGCTTTGTTGCGTGAAGTTGACGGTCTGTTGCAGATACCTAGATTGAACTTACATGATAATCAAGTGTTGTATGTCTACTCACGCTGTCGCGCCCCCACCGTTCCAAGGCCTGGTGCGATGTCTCTCCCTGGGCCGAGTGCGGTGGGTTGGTGGACTGGCAGGCTGTCACGCAGGATTTTGGAGAGTTTTAGGAAAATTTAAAGTGAAATCACAAGCAGCCTTTGTCACACAGTCGAGTAGTCAGTGTTATCCCTCCTGCCAGCGGCGACACGACTTAGAGTGAGGCGTTCGGTTTTATCGCCTGCACCTGACCCCGTATAAAGGTTAGACTCAAGGTCACCGGAGTCCCTATTATCCAGGAGTCCTTCAAGTAGCCTTGAGTGTAACCTGTCATGATAAGGAGTGATAGATAACTTGTTACCTCATGCATAAACTTTCCATGCATCACAGGGCATACATCATAAGACAGATGACACTGAGAGGACGAAAAGACCAGAAACCAGACTCTGCAAGAGCATGACCAGAGACACGAGACTGAAGAGTAATACACAAAGAATGGAGGAAGCAGCCATAAAGAAGGGGATGCAGTCACTGATAAATCATAATAATGTCATAGTACATCTCAGTGACTAAAAGATACGAGCCTCAATCAATGACGACAAGTGGTACCCCCTCATAAGTGGGCTCGACTGTCTGGGACTCTATATCTGGTNACATCTCAGTGACTAAAAGATACGAGCCTCAATCAATGACGACAAGTGGTACCCCCTCATAAGTGGGCTCGACTGTCTGGGACTCTATATCTGGTACACGCTGGTCCTCCTCGTCATTGAGAATCTGAGTGGCCATCGACTCTGGGACCACGTAGCTGAGGTCAAAGGATGCCGTAGGATCGATCTTGCTGATATATGCCATACATCTAGCCATCTCCTCGTCCGCAACGCTCCGAAGGTACAACTCCTCAGCGAGGGAAATGCTGCCAGTGGCACCGATCAAGATCTCGATCCGTCCCTTGCCGTAGATGTAGTTGTATGAAACCTCCAGGAATCGGTCTCCATAGAGAGGCTTCCGAAAAGCCGGTATGACGAAGTCTGCTCCCACCAAATGGTTGTAGCCATCCCCAAGATATGGGACTGGTCCCTTCCCCCTTGAAGGGCCGATTACCTCCTCTGACCTGGGTCCTCCTGACATGTAATGTCCAAATCAATCCCCCTCAAGCAAATATCGTGCCAGAAGATAAGCAACCCGTCGTAGGGCTGCTTTCCGCGTGCGTCTCGCTCTAGTGACCAATGTTATAAGATGCTCTGGGCCAGCTCCACAACTCAAGCGTACTCAGTCCCTGTGAGTATCCCAGTCAAAATAGTCCCCCAGGTCAACATCGCTCACGCAACAAGGCTCCTGGTCTGACTCATCCGTCTCTGACCTCTGTAGACAGGTGGTAATAGGTATACCGGATCTGGCCACCTCGCTCCTGATCCTCCTGTCTTGACGCCTCTTTTCCTTGCTGCCACCTCTGCTCAACGGTTTAGGATTACAGTCGTCAAAGTCATAGAGGGCACCATTTGGTGCAAAGGGAATCTGGGGAAACACTACATGTAACCAGTGTTCCCTCCAGTAACTCTCCCTCCGGAAGATATAGTCAGCAATCCGGTCGTAGGTGGTTCCCTTCACTCCCTGCCCAGCATCTCTCACGTGATAAGTGATCACCAATGTGTACCTCGATGTGGGAGACTCATTGGCCCGAATAACGAAGCTCTGATGCCCAATGTGTCGATAGCAGAACTTCTCAACCAGCTTACCCCATGTAGGGGTTGTCTCATGTTGAGAAGCCAGCTTGACCAGTCTCCAAAATAATATAGAATACCCCTGGCAAACTGCTATGCCAGGCAATGATGTCCTGGAGATGAGGGGGATATCAATAACCCAAGAAAATAACCCAACTCGATAGGGTCAAAGAGGTCAGCTCCTCAATAGACCCTCAAGCCAAACTG